AAATCAGTATTATTTCAATACACAAATGAAAACCTAATTAAAAAATCAATGAAGAAAAGAATTCCATTTCCAATAGCATCAAAAATTTAAAAAATAAAATACCTAGGATAAATTTAACCAAGGAAGTGAAAGGTCCACATGCCAAAACTATAAAATATGAGTGAAAATAAATTAAAGACAATAACAATAAATGGGAAGATATCTTATGTTCTCAATCAGAATAATTACTATTGTAAAAATGTCCATACTAGACCAAAAAATATACTGATCTAACACAATCCCTATAAAAATCTCAATGGCATTCTTCATAGGAATAGAAAAAAAATCTTTCAGAGTTTGTATGGAGCCATAAAAGACCTTGAGTAGCCAAAATAAATCTGAGAAATAAGAAGTTTGAGGCATCACACTTCCTGATTTAAAATTATATTACAAATCTATGTTAATCAAAACAGTGTGGTGCTGGCAGAAAGACAAACACTTATGCCAGTGAAACATAGTAGAGAGCTTAGAAATAAATCCAAACTCATATGGTTAACTAATTTTTTTTTTGGAAACAGGGTCTCACTCTGCCACCCAAGCTGAAGTGCAGGGGTGTGATCATAGCTCACTGCTCATTTTGACCTCCTCAGCTCAGGTGATCCTCCCACCTCAGCCTCTCAAGTAGCTGGGGCTACAGGCATGTGCCACCACACCTGGCTATTTTTTTAAATATATTTTTTTGTAGAGACAGGTTTTTGTCATATTGTCCAGGCTGGTCTGAAACTCCTGGGCTCAAGTGATCCACCTACCTTGGCCTTTCAAAATGCTGGGATTGTAGGTGTGAGCCACTGTACCTGGCCATGGTCAACTGATTTTTGACAAGGGCATAAAAAGGGCACAATAAGGAAAGGATAGTTTCTGAATAAATGGTATTGGTACAAAAAATGGCACCAGTACGGTAAATAAAACCAGATTTCCACATGCAAAAGTATGAGATTGAAACTTTATGTTATACCTTACAAAAATAAAATCAACTCAAAATTGGATAAGAGACCTAAATAGAAGACCAAAAACTACAAAAGTTTCAGAAGATAACATAGGGTACAAGCTCCTGGACACTGGCCTTGGCAATAACTTTTTGGAGATCGCACCAAAAGGTAAGGCTGCAAAAGCAAAAATAAATAAATGGAACAACATCAAACTCAATAGCTTCTATACATCAAAGGAAACCACTGATAAAATGAAAAGGCAGCCTATAGATTGGGGAAAATATTTGCAACCATATATCTGATAAAGGGTTAATATCTACAATTTATAAAGAACTCATACAACTCAATAGTGGGGAAAAAATCACCTGATTAAAAAATGTGCAAAAGACCTGAATAGACATTTCTCTAAAGAAAACATGCAAATGGCCAACAGTAAATGAAAAGGTTCTCAACACCATTAATCATCAGGAAAATGTACATCAAAACTAACATTATTTCTTGATAAAAATTCTCAACAGTTTTGGAATAGAAGGTGTATTAGACCATTTTCACACTGCTATGAAAAAATACCTGAGACTGGGTCATTTATAAGGGAAATAGATGTAATGGACTCACAGTTCTGCAGGGCTGGGAAGAACTGTGAGTACCACCTCATACTCCTTAGGATGGCCATTACCAAAAAGTCAAAAGGTAACAAATGTTGACAAGGGTGTGGAGAAAAGGGAACCTGGGACAATGTTGCTGAGAATGTAGATTGGTACAGACATTATAAAAAACAGTATGGAGATTTCTAAAGAAATTAAAAATAAAACTACCATAAGACCCAGCAATCTCTCTTCTGGATACCAAAAGGAAATGAAATCTTCATCTGGTAAAGATATCTGCACTCCCATGATTGCTGCATTATTCATAATAGCTGAGATATGGAAACAACCTAAGTGTTCATTGACAGATGAATGGATAAGGAAGTTGTGGAAATACCTACAATGGAATTTTCCTGAGCCCAAAAAAGAACAAGATCCTGCCATTTGCCGTGCATAGATGACTCTGGAGGATGTTAGCTAAGTGAAATAAGCCAGAAACAGATAGGAAAAATATTGCATTATCTGCCTTAGATGTGGAATATTTTTAAAAAAATCAAAAATACAGAGAAGCCATCCAACAAAATTGTGATTACAAGGGCAATTAAATGGGGAGATGTCAGTCAGAGAAGATAAAGTAGCAGATATGTAGAATGAAACATTTAGAGATCCAGTGTACAACATAAGGACTGTAGATAATAAAATTTTATTCTATGTAGGATTCATGTTAAGTGAGTAGATTTTAGACTCTGTTACCACAGAAACGAAAAAGTGTTACTAGGTGAGATAAAGGATAAATGAATTCGTTTCACTGTAGTAACCTTTTTACTCTCTATGTGTATTTCTTAACATCACATTATATACTTTAAATAGACCCAATAAAATTTAATTTTCTTAAAAAAATGCTGTTGAAAAGTTCCATTTAGCATTTAACTCATTCAGGTTTAAATGAACAAAAAATTGTTATATACAAATCAGGAGAAACGTATAGGAATTTTAAAGGCATTAGGGAATTTAAATGTCATCTAAATAATCTTCTTCAGAGCTTAAACCATTTATACATCTAACAAATGTATCTAAAATATAGTCAAAATCTTAAAGTTTCTTGCAGTATTAAGACTGCTCTGAATATATTTTATTTATTATGCTTATTGCAAGCTTCTCACAACAGCCTAACTAACACACTTCTTAACAATTTTCTGAACACTTAGTTGTTTTATTATGACCTCATTTTCCGCAATTAGGGTAAACATCACTTCCTTTGCAATTGGCTGGTGTCTGCATACTGTACCTGCCAGCTACACTTCAAAACACATAAATGGGCATTTGGTAAAACTTCTTTCAACTTCCGCATTAGACAGAAGGCAACATTCCAGTTACATCACACTGAAAATAGCTAATCACTAGGCAGAAGAAACTTTTTTTTAAAATCACATATAACTGTGAGTTTTTAAAAAGTCCCTTTACAACAATGCAATGTTACCACAATGTGATATTTGACTATCAGCCTCTTACATTTTATTAAACTTGATTCTTGTTATTTCGTGCTTCTTGAAAGGATCAGAGTATAGTAATGAAATCCACAAAACTAAAGGGGAAAAAGGAATGGGAATAATAGAATAATTACAGCAGCCGTAATATCCACAAGCTGCATACTCAAACTACTTATTGTCATAGATTTTGGAAATAGAGACTTCAGTCATGGGTGAGAAGAATGGTATTTCACATGAGTACAAAGCTACTTATTTGTTTTTTCTCTAGATTATATAATTCTAGCCTTAACAGTTGCTTTTATTAGAAACATATAAACAGATATTAGTGATAGAACTAAAATAAAATGAGTCAAAGAGAAAGGCTGTAAAACAGATATTTTTCATTTGGTTCAGACCCAGACCCAAGTGTAAGGATAGCAAATTGCTCTTTATTAACTATATTGACATATTTATTGCAAACACTCTATTTTCCTTTAATCTTCCCCATCTTGCCTGGAGTCACAGTCATTTACCTGGACATCCAAACAAGTGGACCCTTAATCCTTTTCTTGTTCTACAGCTGATCAATCATTTAACAAAGTTCAGGAACTACAGCTAAATCCATCTCCTCCTCTCCACCGTATTACACAGCCTCAGTTCAGGTCTTCACAATCTCCTTCCTGGACCTTCAATACGCCCTCTAAACTGGTCTGTCTGCATGCTTGCCCTAATCCCCATCCTCATTCACATCGTGTGACTTGTCTAAATCTTCAGAAATCTTCTACCTAATTAAAATTTTGTATTGGCTTTCCACCTCCTCCAGAGTAAATTTCCAGGTGTTTACTTTGGGTTATGAGACTCCTAGCCCACCAGCTCTACCATATCCTCTTCCTAGAATTGCAGTCTTGTGAAAGACTTGCAATCTTTAAGAGATATTGAGACCATAAATTCTTAGAGGGCAAAGGTCATGTTTCATTTATATTTTTATCCTCTATTACAAATGAATGCTGTTTCACAATCCTACCTTTTTCCCCCCAAAATGCTATTTTCTCTGTTCTTTTCTCTCTCTCTCTTTTTTTTTTTCAACCTGGTGAACTTTTATTCCTCAAACATGTAATCATGTCACTTTCTTAAGAAAATCTCCTGACACAAGCCTGCAAAAAGTTAGTGCTCCTTCGTCTTGTACAAATTTATTTTGCCACAGTTCACACAATCTAATTAAACTACTTGTTTCCATGTCTGTCTTCCCTTTTAAAGTGTGTGCATCCCAAAGGCAAAGAGTTTATCTTAAAATTTGTATACATTTAGGGATCCAGAGCAGTTTTTAGAACATTATTTTAATGTGGTAGGTACCATGATCTCATTTAATGAAACAAGTTTACAATTAATATTAAGTAAAGCTAAAAGCATAAAGACATTTACAGAAAAATTTCACTTGCAAGATATCACAATATTGAATCCTTTTTGAGAATTCAGACAATACAGTCAATAAATAGCAACTTTCAAGTTGGAGAAAGATAAGTGGTGTAAGATATTTTTGGGTAATGGAGGTAATGCACCAATGGGGTCATGTGAGTCAATGTAAGTGAAGGATGCTCATAGGTAGTGAAATCTTACTAAGTACAATTCACAATTTGTGATTTCACTGGGAGGTGCTAGTAAATGAAAAGAGCCATGATCAGATCTTCAAAAGTAATGTTGCTACTTTTACATGATTGAAGGCCAGTAAGCCAGATAAAATACAGTGGGAAGATATCCTCACTTGAATGTCAACATCAGCAGTACTTTATCTAAAACTCATACTGTGATTGGAGTTTTGGGGGAGATACACAAATTAAAACCTACTGTTCTTTTCAAGATCTAAGTTGCTTACTGTTATTTATGAGTATAAACTATTTTCATAGAGGAACATAGTAAGTAAACATAAAGTTGAAGTATAATGGATTTTTATTGTCTCTATTTTCTTTCTATTATCACAGACCTGTTGAATTTTCAGAAGCTGAATTCTCACAAGTTGAATATCAACGAAAACAGCAATTTTGGGACTCAGTGCGGCTAGCTCTTTTCACATTGGCAATTGTAGCAATCATAGGAATTGCAATTGGTATTGTTACTCATTTTGTTATTGAGGGTAAGTATCCAGGTCACAGTTCTGTTGCCTAAGAACTTCATGACTTCGTACCTTGAAAGTGACATTTGCATGATACTATCATTTTAATTACCAGTCTTTTACTAATGTTAAATTATAGTTTGCCTCTGCATTGAGCTCTGTGTTACATATTTTCACTTAGTTAAGTTTGAAATAAGCATTGCATTGATAGACACATCTAAAAGAAACATATAAAAAAGAGAAAGAAGAATGTAAAGATCACCTTTAGCATGTGCTAAGTTTAGTATACTTTTCTCAATCAGTATATTAATGAGTTGCCTCAAGAAAAGTTCATGATATGAGAAAAGTTACCTGAAAAATACCTTTAAAGGGCTAAACATCAAGCATATTTTTGAAGGAAAAAAAAAACAGATTTTTTATGACTGTGGGAAGAAGGAAAAGCTAAGAATTAATTCCTAATTATATATGCAAAAATGGAGAGTTAGTATCATAGTTGAGCCAAATGACAACCAAGATTCATTTACTTCATCTTTGGTTTCTGTATTTTTTTTTTTAAATTGAGACAGTCTTGTGCTATCACCCAGGCTGGAGTGCAGTGGCATGATCTGGGCTCATTGCAACCTCCTCCACTTCCCAGGTTCAAGAGATTCTTGTGCCTCAGCCTCCTGGGTAGCTGGGATTACAGGCGCCTGCCACGAAGCTCAGTTAATTTTTGTGTTTTTAGTAGGGATGGGGTTTCAACATGTTGGCCAGGCTGGTCTCAAACTTGCGACCTCGGGTGATCTGCTATACCCAGCCTCCCAAAGTGCTGGGATTACAGGCGTGAGCCACGGCATCTGGCCAATTTCTGCGTTTTTAATCACAGGTGATTGAGACTTAAAATTTTAGGCACTCATATCAGTCACAACAGTAAAACCACACTTGGAAGTTCCAAAGAAGAAATGAAATACTGTCCAACATGCCCAGTTTACCTTCCTACCCTGATTATTGGGGGATTGATAATATCCATTCCTTAGACTCATAAAATGAAAGCATAAGCCAAGCTACTCTCTACAATGTTATCTTTTTGTTAATATTTTCTTTGGGTTAGAAAGTAATGAAATAGTTTTGTTTTTAAAATGCCCTTCACTCCCAATGCTTAAAAAAGAAAAAAAAAATTAAGAGATAGTAAAAATAATGACAAAAAAAGCGTTTTAGCCATTAAAAAACATTTTAGAGGTCATCATAGGCTGAATCATGCTCCATTCCCACCCAAAGATGTCCATGTCCTAATTGTCAGAATCTGTGAATGTTATCTAATGTAGCAAAAAGGCCTTTCCAGATGTCATTAAACTAATAATTTTGAGATGGGACATTATCCTGGATTTTTTGGATAGGTCCTAAGTATAACTAAAGGGTCCTCTTAAGGGGGAGGAAAGAGGGTCAAAGGAGGAAGAAGGCAATATAACAACAAAAGCAATAGGAGAAGGTGGGATAATGTAAAATGGAACCATCAGCAGGAATGAGGATAGTCTCTAGAAAAAGGCAAGAAATAGATGCTCCCATTACAGCTTCTAGAAGGAACCAGCTCTGCCACCTTTTTCATTTTAGCTTTGCAAAACTCACATATGATATATGACCTCCAGAACTGTAAGAGAATAAATTTGTCTTATTTTAAGTCACCAAACCAACAGTAATTTGTTATAGCAGCAGTAGACAAGTAATATAGAGGTTAACAGCCAAGGATTTGAGTGTTGACTACAGATAATTGAACAGTTGCCTGACTGCAAATGGACATTTAGGAAAAGAGGGGAGAAGGTAACCCATGACAAAAGTTAAACAAGTAGAATGGGATAAAATAGAGATATATAAGATGAACCCATTTTTAAAAGGAACATACCTATTTCTATAGCAGAAGGAAGTCATTGAGGGAAATTACATGCTAGTAACTAGGGTATTAACAGAAGACAAATTATTTCTAAAATATTGCTTTTATGGATTGTAAATGAATAGATCTGAAAGACAGTGGAGTAAAAATTATCAATAATTGTGAAATAATCACAATAGAAATAAGGATTTTAGCAGACATAATGGTAAAAGTCACATCACCAGGATGGACGTGTATTTGATGGGATTATTTTTATCCTAAAGATCTCAGTAATCATGAATGATCAACTTTCAGTATAATTCTGACAATCATCCACTGTCTTTAAAATTTGGCAATTTTTAAATAAGAATTAATTAAAGCCGTGACTTTTGAATATGATTGATTTATCAGTGTCCTTCAGCCAGAGATCACAGGAATACATCTTCAGATGTATAGAAGGGAAAAAGAACATATGCCCTGGAGAACCACAGGCCGCCTAGTAAAAGATTGTTCAAAAAATGCACTGTAAGATTTTGGCTTGTCTTAGGTGATTCGGGGGAGCGTTGAAGGAACTGGATCTTTTCTCTGGATTGGACTTTTCTTTTGATTGCTGTCAGAAACCTGAAGTAATGCTGTGTTTTAACAAAATCCAGAAACCAAATGATCTAAAACTGTTTTTTAAGTTTGGTTTCTTGAAAACCTAAAGAGTAAAGTGTGCATTGAGTTAGAATCACTTGTCTTCCTGTTCTATAGGACTGGATCCACTTCCAGGAACACAGGGATTTTATTTTATCATGAAATGTTATTCTCCCATGAAATCCCAAGAGCCAAGCATACCTTGATTTTAATCTCATAAATTAGTTAGGTGATCTTTAGCAAACTACTTTTCTACCTCATTAAGCTTCAGTACCCTTATGTAAAGGGTATACTATTATTTTTACTAAAGAAAATTGTTGCGATGATTAAATTAGATTTGTGTTTTTGCATAGTGCATGGTATATAGTAATATTTCATGAATATTTGCCATTATTGAATTGGATTTCTACAATGGCTTCCTAATTGATCTTTTATAAAAACTTATTTCTTCACTGGTGAAATGAGCTGAGCATATAATAAAGATTCAATAAATGGCAAATATCATGTTCTCTGCATTTAATGACAATTCAATAAAGAATAGGTATTATTTATTAATACAAAGGTTCAACATTAACATAATTGCTATAGTGTAGTGACTAATATACTTATGCTTTATTTATAACTTACATTTTTAGAGCTTTTAAAAGTATTTAAAGTATATATTAGCATCACTTTTACTTCTACATGATTCCAGAATATGATTTTGCCCAACAGGGAAAGTCTTAAGGACAATATAGGGTTATGTATATGATAATGAATAAAATAGCTCTGTCACTCTGGGATTAACCTTAATCTTTTTTTTTTTTGTAATAGAACTTTAATTATGAAACCTCGTCAAGATATGCCTTTGGAAGTAGCTTGAATTCATTAAATTTAATAAGATAATATATGTGAGAGCTGATTAGACAGAGTTTAGTGTATGTTAGGAACTTGGTAAATGTTGATTAATTCATCTACTCATCCATCAGTAAGAATAAAGAAATAAAAGTTGTCAGCAAAACAACAAAATAGATTGTAAACTGTTGTGGTAAAATGTCACCCTGATTCATATTTCTCAACACCTCATTTTGAATGAATAAATTGTATTTTTTTTAAAGAAGTAAGAGAATGCTTAGAATCGATTTAGTAAGTGGAGCAAAAAACTTACAAAATTATGGTGATAAGCTGTCTCAGCCAAGTAAAAGTTATTTTAACAGAATAAATAAAAACAAAAATTATAATATCAATTAATTCTAGATATTAAGGCTATAGATTTTTATCCTCTTGTATATATTTTTCTGGTCATTCCAGATTTTCTGATATAGCATTTATGATCTAAAAACTATTTTTAAATGAATGTTTAAGTTTTTCAAATATTTTGAGAAAAATTTAAATGAAAATTTAAATGTTTTAAGCATTTGAAAAGCGTCTTAAAATGAATGTTTAAAATGGGGTAAGAGATTGGAAATTTGGCTGGGTGTGGTGGCTTACACCTTTAATCCCAGCACTTTGGGAGGCCGAGGCCAGTGGATCACCTGAGGTCAGGAATTCAACACCAGCCTGACCAACATGGTGAAACCCTTGTCTCTACTAAAAATACAAAAATTAGCGGGGCATGGTGGCTTGCCCCTGTAATCCCAGCTACTCAGGAAGCTGAGGGAAGAGAATCACTTGAACCCAGGAGGTAGAGGTTGCAGTGAGCTGGAATCGTGCCACTGCACTCCAGCCTGGGCAACAGAGTGAGACTCCATCTCAAAAAAAAAAAAAAAAAAAAAGAAAAAGATTAGAGATATAAAATGAGTTATAGTTACAGGATTTAAAGACTGAAAATTTAATTGGGTATTGGAAACGAGGGTGAAACCAAGCCTTGGGTGACCATGTGGATGATAGAGCTGTTCACAAACAGAGAAAATATAGGAAGTGGGGCAGGTTTAAATAAAAAAAGGAGTAAATGATTATTTCACTTTGGAAATATATCAGAGGTACTTATTTAATGTGCAACAAATAGTCTCCTGAAGTCAGTTGATATAGAATTGAAACTCATGACAAAGATTTGGTCTGAAGATAAAGAATTTAGAAGTTATCAATAAATAGTTAGTGTCTAAGGCCATCCCAGTTAAGAATATGAAAAAGTAGTATGACCGGGTCAAAGGTAGAACCTTTGGATGCCAAAGAGAAGGGTGGAAATAAAGAGCTCACCAAGATAACTGAGAAGTGTGGCCAGGGAGAAAGGAAGAAAACTGGAAGATGGCTTCATAAAACCAAGGATAGATTTTCAGGAAACGCAATGATGTCAAGGGGTAAAACAAAGAAAACCCTAAAAGATAATACAACTGTTGTCCTTGACAAAGACAGTTTTAGTGGTGTGTTAGGAAGATTACAGAGAATTAGGGAGTGAATGGAGAAAAAAGAAGGTGAAAGCAGTAAATACAGACTTTTACTAAAGTAAGCTTAGCAGTAGCATAAAAAAAATTGGCAGCTTGTTCAGTGTATCTTCATGATATAGTTTATGTCTGATACCCCTGTTAGCAATTCTTTGAGGAAATTGATGACATTTACATGACTTTCAGCAATTGCTTTCAATATTATCTTTCTACTGTATGTTGCATGTCCAATTTTATGAACATTTTGATATACATAAATATCTATAAATGGAGTATTCTGTATTAGTACTTTGGGATCAGAATATTTTATTTTGACTGGCGGCAGTGATGAAATTACAAAATGTTTGAAAAATTTCTGCAGTAATTTTTATACTAAATAGAAATAAACTGCATTATAGTAGCTTATTTAGCAGATGTGGGCAAGATGTAGGGGACAAAGCAACTTAATACCTTTAACCATGAGACTTTTGCTTCTTTTACCTTTCAGATGATAAGTCTTTTTATTACCTTGCCTCTTTTAAAGTCACAAATATCAAATACCAAGAAAATTATGGCCTGAAATCTTCAAGACAGTTTATAGAAAGGAGTCATCAGATTGAAAGAATGGTAAACTCATAGAAATGTTAAATGTTTATTAATGTGTCTTTTGCATCATTTTGAATATGGGTGTTATATAGGAACTTAGTCCCAATCTCTTGTTTTGTAAAATGGAGATGACATAGTATGTAAGACATATAGTTGTGAAGATTAAATAACTTAATATGTATAAAATACTCAGAATATTGTGTGCACCATCAAATGTATGTAGTAGATTAGAGTATGTAACTAATTAGCTCCTGAGGGTTGGCTGAAACAGATGTTTCCCTATTTTTAACTCTTGATTTTATCTTTCTCAATTCATTTTCTTTAATCTTTTTTAACATAAATATATAGAGTTGCCACAATCAACTTACCAATTTGTTTATTTTGAAAGTACTTAAAAGATTATATAAAAGGACATGGTATGTCAATAATTCTTGATATTAATCTTCAATTTTGTTATGCCTCATATATTTTGTTTTTTTGATAGCTTATGTATTTATCAAGTTCTTTTTAATTTTTAAGGATATTGGGTGTGACATTCTCATTAATGGTCATAGCAGAAAGTTGAAGAGAATGGTCTTCCATTTTTTGTCCCATGAAAGGCATGGTTATGGAGATCACAGATTTGTTTAGCAAAATTCAATATATTACCTTAGATTGTAGTTTTTTAATCTTATAAGAGTTATTCTAGAAGCAAGAATTAATGGCCAAATAGGAAGGGCACTATGTTAATATGATTCTTTGTGATTAGCTTTAGACAGTAATACCCTTTAATAAAAGATGAGAACTTTAGCATTCCCATTCTTCTCTCACTATACTATCTTTTCTCTGTATAAATAAAATAAATTTATTCACAATGTGAGAAAATATTTACATTTTATTTTGTTATTTATGTAAGTTTATTCCAAATGTTGAAAAGCAATAAGAGCTTTTCCATTTCCATAGCTATTTAAATAGTGTTTTTGTTTTTTACAATTATTACCACTGTTCTTATGCCATTCAAATAATGCTTCCGGCATTAAAATATATTTTCTTTCTCTTTCGTGTGTGTGTAAGCCCTCTACCATTTTACTGTATTATCAGACATTTCCAAGATCTTGATATTTCTTTAAATCTCCTTTTCTAAAATCTTATGTTTCCTGCTCAATTTCAACTAGTTGCTCTGTAGGTCCACTTTACAAAGGTAAACTTAGCCAGGACAGGACTGCACACTTTTGTGAGTTCCATTGTTTCTTGCATCCCATGTTTTCCCTGATGTAGTGAGATATGTCCTCGAGTGCCTTCCCTAAGAAAAAGTTCATAGGATGTAAAACTTATGAATTATTTCATCCTGAAAAAAATCCTGTATTCTATATTCCGCTCAGTTGAAAGCTTGGAGGTAGAACTTTAAATCGAAAATTATTTCCCTTAAAGTTCATGTAATGTGATGCCTTTGCCTTTTTTCCTTTTTGCTTAGGATTGCTTTGATGATTTGGGCTCTTTTTTGGTTCTGTATAAATTTAAGAATACTTTTTTTTTTCTAATTCTGTAAAAGATGGTCTTGGTACTTTGATAGGAATAGTGTTAAATCTGTAAATTACTTTGAGCAGTATGGCCATTTTAATGGTATTGATTCTTCCAATCCATAATTATGTCTATGAGACAACATTTGTTTTGTCTCTAATTTCTTTCAGCAGTGTTTGGTAGTTCTCCTTGTAAATATCATTTACCTTTTTGATTAGATGTATTCCTAGATATTTTTTTTGTGTGTGACTGTTGTAGCTGGGATTGCATTCTTGATTTTTCTGTCAGCTTGAACATTATTAGTGTTTAAAAAGGCTACTAATTGTTTTATGCTGATTTTCTGTATCCTGAAACTTTAATGAAGTTAATCAATTCTGGGAGCTTTTTTTGTGAAGTCTTTGTTTTCTAGATATAGAATTATATAGTTTGTGAAGAGAGGTTGTTGGACTACTTCTTTTCTATTTGGATGCCTTTTACTTTTTTCTCTTGCCTGATTACTCTGCATAGGACTTCTATTACTTTGTTGAATAGGGGTAGAGAGAGTGGGCATCCTTGTTTTGTTCCAGTTCTCAAGGGGAATGGTTCCAGCTTTTGCCCATGCAGTATGATATTGGCTGTGGATTTGTCATAGATGGTTCTTACTATTTTGACATATGTTCCTTCAATGCCTAGTTTGTTGATGGTTTTTATCATGAAGAGATGTTGGATTTTATCAAAAGCTTTTTTTGTATCTATTGGAATGATCATTTTGTTTTTAATTCTGTTCATATGGTGAATCACATTTATTGATTTGTGTATGTTGAACCACTTGTGTCCCAGGAATAAAGCCTACCTGATTGTGGCAAATTAACTTTTGTTGCAGCTGGATTTGGTTTGCTGGTATTTTGTTGAGGATTTTTGCATCCATGTTTATCAAGGGTATTGGCTTGATGTTTTCTTTTTACATGTCTTTGTCAAATTTTGGTATCAGGAGGGTGCTAGCTTTGTAGAATGAGTTATGAGGACTCCTTTCTTGCTGATTTTTTTTTGGGAATAGTTTTACTAGGATTGGTACCCATTATTCTGTGTCTGGTAGAATTTGGCTGTGAATTCATCTGGTCCAGGGATTTTGTTAGTTTGTAGATTTTTTATTATTAATTAAATTTTGGAACTTGCTATTGATGTGTGCAAGTTTTCTATTTCTACTTGGTTCAATCATGGAGGTTATATGTTACCAGCAATTTATCTATTTTCTCTAGACTTTCTAATTTTCATGAATAAGAGTGTTCATAATAGTATATCTTTTCTATTTCTATAGGATTGGTTGTAATGTCAACTTTGTCATTTCTGATTGTACTCATATGGATTGTCTCTCTTTTTTTCTAATTTAGATAGCTGTCTATCAGCTTTGTTTATTCTTTCAATAAATCAAAAATTTGGTTTTGTTGATCTTTTACATGGAATTTTGTGCATCAATTTAGTTTCGTTCTGCTCTGATGTTAATCGTCTTTTCTTTTGCTAGCTTCAGGGTTAGTTTGTTGTTTTTCTAGTTGCTCTATGTGCATTGTTAGACCGTTAATTTTAAATCTTTCTGACTTATCGATATATGTGTTTAGTGCTATAGACATTCCTCTTAACACTGCTTTAGCTGCATCCCAAAGATGCTGGTGTCTTGTGCCTTTACTTTCCCTAATTTCAAAGAAATGTTTGATTTTTGCCTTAAATTTGTTGTTTACCCAAAGGTGATTCAGGAGTAAGTTGCTTAATTTCTATGTAGTTGTGTGGTTTTGAGATATCTCCTCGGTAATGATTTCTATTCTTATTGCACTGTGGCATAAAGTGTGCTTGCTATGATTTTTAAAAAATGTATTGAGGCTTGCTTAATGGCCAATATTTGATTCATCTTAGAGTATGTTCCACGTGCAGATGAGAAGAGTATACATTCTGTGGTGGTTGGGTGTAGTATTCTGTAGATGTCTGTTAGATCCAATTGGTCAAGTGTCAAATTTATGTTCACAATTTCTTTGTTAGTTTTCTGTCTCAATGATCTTTGTAATCCTGTCAGTAGAACTGATGATGTCTCCCACCATTATTGTGTGGCTGTCCAAGTCTTTGTAGGTCTAGAATAACTTTTTTTGTGTAAATCTGGGTGCTTCAATGTTGGGTGTATATATATTTTGGATGGCTGAGTCTTCTTGTTGAATTGATGCTTTTATCATTATGTAATAGACTTGTTTTCCCTTCTTTACCGTTGTTGGTTTAAAGTCTGTTTTATCTGATAAAAGAATAGTGACCCGGTCTTCCTTTTGTTTTCTGTTTGCATGACATCTTTCTCCATCCCTTTTCTTTGAGCCTGTGGGTGTCATCACATGTGAAATGGGTCTTTTGAAGGTAGCAGATTAATTTTGTCTTTTTATCCACTTGCCACTATATGCCTTTTAAGTGGAACATTTAGACTATTGACATTTAACTTACTATTGATATGTGAGATTTTGTTCCTGTCATGTTGTTAGATGATTGAATAGTTGCTTTATGGTATCTGTGGGCTATGTACTTAAATGTGTTTTTGTGGTAGCTGGTATTGTTCCTTCATTTTGATGTTTAGCATTCTCTTAAGGACCTCTTGAAAGGCTGATAAAGATAATGAATTATCTTAGCTTTTTCTTATCTGAAATGATTGTATTTCTCCTTTACTTATGAAGCTTAGTTTGATGGGGAATGAAGTTCTTGCTTGGAATTTCTTTTCCTTAAGGATGCTGAAAATTGGCCACCAGTCTCTTCTAGTTTATAAGGTTTCTGCTGAGATGTCCTGATGGGGTTCCATTTGTAAGTGACCTGACCTGTCTCTGTAGCTACCTTTAATATTTTTTTCTTTTGCAGTGAACTTGGTGAGTCTGATGACTATGTGTCTTGAGGATAGTTGTCTTAATAGTGTCTCTTGTACGGGTTCTTTGAATTTTTGAATTTGTATGTGAGCTTCTTTAGTGAGATTGGGAATATTTTTGTGGATTCTATGCTTAAATATGTTTTTCAAGTTGTTTTCTCTCTCTTCTTGTCTATCTGGAATGCCAGTGGGTCACAGGTTTGGTCTCTTTACATAATTTCATGTTTTGTAGAGGTTTTGTTCTATTTTAAAAACGATTCTTTCTTTATTTTTGTCTAAAGTTGATTCAGAAAACTGGCCTTTGAGCTCTGAGATTCTTTCCTCAGCTTGGTCTATTCTGTTGTTAATGCTTCCTACAATATTATAAAATTCCTGCAGTAAATTTTTTAATTTTAGAAATTTAGTTTGGTCCTTTCTTCAAGTGGCTATGTCATCTTTCACCTCTTGGATCATATTACTGGAGTCTTTGAATTGGATTTCAACTTTCTCCTGAATCTCAATAAGCATCCTTGCTATCCAGATTCTAAATTCTGTATCTGTGGTTTTAGTCATTTCAATCTGGTTAAGAAACATGGCTGGGGAGATAGGGTGATTGTTTGCATGCAGGCAAGAAGACAGTCTGACTTTTTGAATTGCTAGAGTTTTTGCACCTATTCTT